GTGGAGCATATTGGCGCACGCCTTCCTGCGCCGCTTCCGAGGGCTCCGATATGACCGGCAGCTCCTTTGTCTCCATCCGAGAGGTCTTCCGCGAGACCTCTCCTGGCTGACGGTCTTCTACCAGGACCTCCTCCGGACCTGGAAACTGTTTTCAGTGACCAGGTCCGTGGCGGCCACTGTGGGGGCAGATCTCCTCTTGGAGCCCTTCTACACAACCCCCAGGTTCGTGTGCAGGTGGCGGAGTCTCCCATGGTGCGCCAGAGGTTGGTCCTAGCAGAAGTCACCAAAGTCGGAGACCTCCTGGACTACGACCAAGGAGACTGGCTGGATCCCCTGACGCTCATTCAGTGCATGGGGCTCTCCAGACCTTGTACTCCCCGGCGCGTACTTCAGGAGGTGAGGGCCGCTTTGCCGCCCGCTGCTCGGGACTATCTCGACCAGGTCCTGCGAGAGGGCACGCCCCGTCCACCCTCCACTTCGAGCTCTCCAGACTTTTTCATTGCCCCCCCCGCCCCTTCGCCATGAGCCGGCTGCACCATCTGCAGCCGGTTCTGTTCTGGACCTCACCAAGGAAACATCTATACACGCTCATGCTCCATGTTCTTCATGTCCTCACCCTCGCGTCCCGCCCCGATACGAAGTGGCGGGACCTTCTGCCACCCCTGGAGGGTGAGGAGCCCTGGTGGGCCAGCCTTTATTCTGCTCTGATCCCGAAGCCCACCAGGGACATCAATTGGCGGCTCCTTCACGGAGCCGTGAGCACGGGCGTGCACTTGGCACGGTTTACTCCTATCTCAGACACCTGCCCCTTTTGCGGCGTGAGGGAGAATCTGGCGCATGTTTACCTGGAGTGCGCCAGGCTGCAGCCCCTATTCCGGCTCCTCACGGATATTTTGTTAAGATTTTAGTTGCACTTTCCTCGTCACCTTTTTATTTATGCACTCACTATCCATCGCCCCACGAAGTCACGGGACCTCCTGGTCAACCTCCTCCTGGCCCTAGCAAAACTGGCCATTTATAAAACCAGAGTGAGGAGGTTGGCCGATGGAGTCTCCTGTGACTGTTGGGCCTATTTCCGGTCCTCCGTTTGTTCACGTATCCGGGCAGGGTTCCTCGGAGCAGCATCCACTGACTCCCTTGACGCCTTCGAGGAGCAGTGGGCGCTGTCCAGGGTTCTCTGCTCGGTGTCCCCGTCTGGTTCCCTTCTTTTGACCCTTTGACCTCACTCCTGTCCCTGTTCTTTTATTAGTTGTCCCCCATAATTTTTTGGTCTCCAGGCCCTGTGAACCCCCCCCATAGGCTGGGGGGGTCCTTTAGCAGTGGGCGGGCTTTGCCTGGCCACATCCTGGATCCCAATAGGACCAGGTGGCTTACATAATATAAGAACGTAAGACTGGCTATATTGTGTCAGACCAATGGTCCATCTAACCTTGTGTGCTGCCTGAGTGACCAGTGCCAGATGCTTCAGAGGGAATGAACAGAACACGCTTGTTGACCTGAAAGGTGATGAACTTCCACCCTGACCTTTAAACTTTATTATTGTTGATTCCAGCTTACCTCACCTTACCACACCTCCACTGAGGTCTCCGGGCAAATCAGGAGTGAACCACTCCTTTGATACAGATGTGTCCCAATGCAGCTGAAGTGAAGCAGACTTTGAGCCAATGTCAGTTTGGAAAAGGCCCGCTTAACCCAGCAGGTTTCTCAAAGTATCCATTGTTGTGAACTGCATGAAGTATGCATATGTGAACCCCAAACAATATCAAAAATGAAAGAAACATAAGGCCAGTTCTGGGGAGGATTCCAGAGCCAGGCCTGAGGGTTAAACAGCTGTGCTGTAACAGCTGGCCTCCTCAGGACCCATAAAAATAATTGGCTGCAAAAACAGAACAAAAACAAAATTAAAAAACAAAACAAACAAACCAACCTACAAAAGCTACCATCATGCATCCATCTCCTGCCCGATGTGACATCTTTGCTTTGCAAACAAGAGAACTGGAGAACTCTGTGACTGTTATACCAATTGAATAAAAAATTATACATCTTGTCTCAAGTAACTTTCCTCTTAACAGAAGATTTATTTTAAAGCTTATCAAAATAAATTCCATTTGAAATAGAAATAATTACAGTCTATACTGGGTCTCTAGTCTCATACATGCTATTTCTCTCACATATCCCCCTACTCTAATTCCTTTGGAGTGAGGTTTTAATTTCAGGATTAGCCTCCATTTCCTATGTAGTAGGAGGCGGCAGGGAAAGAAGAAGAAAACTTTGAGGTTTATAAAAGAATTCAGGTTATCATATAATCAGTCTCTTACTTTACACTAATTAACTTCATGTTTAATTCCATTTTCACTGGTAAAAATTTAAGATTATAAAATATAAACCTATAGAGCAGTTTCCACCCAGTGAGATTTGTGTGAAGTCACATTCTACAATAACCTAGGAGCCTTCCATTTCTGTGAGTTCATTTCTCCCTGGGTCTTCTCCCAGAAGTGTGGCTGGAAGGGGTCTCCCACTACATGGGAAGGCTGCATCATGAGAAAAACCACCTGTGCTCTATTTTCACACTTTCTAATCTTTCAAAGTAGCAGGAGACGGAGAAGTGGTACAAATACATTAGATTCTAGAGCAAAACTAAGAGACCAAACCACAGACTCAGGACTCAGCATTCATGTATTCTGCAGTCTGAACTTGGAATCTGATACATTCATTCCCTCACTGGCTACCATCATTTGCCCAGCATGGAAGTGCTTCTTGTCCAACAAGGCAGCCAGATTGGGACCCATAGGCATGGAATGGCTCTGAAGGAAGCTCCTCCACTCCTGTCTGTTTCTGGCAAGTCTTTCAATGGTTCCTGAGCTGTGCCCCAGATTTTTCAGCTTGACTTCCACAGCTCTTCAACATGTTGTTTTTGGGCAGCTTCATTTTCGCTTGCCTTCAGGTGTCCATCTTATTGCTATTCTGGTGATGGAATCAGTTTCCTTCCGAATCACATGGCCAATCTATCTCCAATGCCTCCTGGCAATGATGGTGCGCAGATCCTCTTGGCTGCACTGTATCAATAGATCTTGGGTTTAGATTGTTCTGGGCCAAAAGATATGGAGGATTTTTCTGAGGCAGGTTGTATGGAATGCAGACAGTTTGGACATGTCATACTTTCTCATTCCCCCGCATTTGGCACTATAAAGTAATGTTGAAAATACTCAGCTCTGATAAATCTTGAATTTGGTTATGGTGTTGTATTTTGATGATTTCCAGACTGTATGTTTAAGCTCCTGAAGGTGTTCCTGGCTTCCTGGCTGATGGTGCTACCCAAGTATGTGACTGTTTCTACATTGGTGAGAACATAATCGTCTATCCATACTGGTGAAGGTGAGGCAATATTAAAGGTCATGATATCCATCTTATTGTGGTTGATTTTCAATCCAATTTCCTGGCTGAAGGTGTTGAGTCGATTTGTTTTTTCTTGTATATGGTTTTGGGTATGTGATAGGAAAGCGAGATCATCTACAAAGTCCAGGTCTTCAAGGGATGAGAAGGGTGTCCATTTAATCCCTCTTGGTGTGTCTTCTGTTGTACGCCACATTACCCAGCCAATGGCAATGTTGAAGAAGATTTCAGACATGACACACCACTGACATACTCCTGTTTTGACTTCAAAACTGCTCTCACTGTGATCAACACTGCATGTGAAGTTGAAATAGTGAGGTATAACTCCCTCAAAATGCCCATTTCTTTCTTTAATCTGGTGGCACAAATTTAAACTAGGCACTAAATACAGGTGTGGCTCAGAATCCCCGTAAGACATCAAATGTCAGGTATCTATTAAAAATAGGTATCTTTCTGCAGATATATCACAGTCAACACTGATTTCATTTTCTACACATTTGCAGCATCTCCCAGGGTGAGCTCAACAGAAATGTCATCCATTTTCTCCCTTTCTATCTACATAGGGATTGCATTTCCCAAATAATAGGCAACATGCACCTGATTAGGAAGAAGATATCTTCAGGAGCGACCTCCTGCAGGGTCTGGGCCACAACTGCTTTGGGAGCCAAACACGTGGGTATTTCACCTAGTTCCAAGTTATTTACTAGGGAATAGTCTTCACAGCTCTTTAGAAAAAATATTGACTTAACCAATTGAACAACAGTGTGATCGTATGCAGTTATTTCCACAATTTGTGATTTGCTGTTTTTCACCATTTCAGAATGGGAAGTAAAAGTGCTACTGTCTCCTTGGTAGCATGCCCAACAGATTGGAGTATTCTCTCCTGATGACCTAACTGCAATTGAGCTTCCCCCAGGGCATCATGGAGGGGAGGGGGAAAGAAAAAAACTATCCTAAGAAATTACTGTTTTAGCAAATGGTCACTTGTCTCAAAGTCCGAAACAAATCTGAGTGACATGCTGCCAAAGAAAACTAAGATGTAATTATGTAACCAAATGGTGTTCAGGAAAGAGAGAAACCTGCAATACCAAGGAGCGTAAGATATTCCTGCGGGAATTCTGTGCCAGACATGAATTCTGCACGTGTGCAGTGGCGCAAATTCCTCCAAGAGTAATTAAGACACTTTCAGTTTCATATAAAATGAAATTCCAGAGCAGGTTATATCTAATGATTAAAATAAGAACAGAATCTTGCACTTCATTCTCCTCCGATGTATTCAAACCTGCTTCACACAGCATCACCTTATTATTAAGTCATGTTCTTTACAAGACATTTCACATCATCATAACAGGGAAAAACAGCCAACCTTCCCATCTGTAAACAAAACTCCCAGATCAGCAGGAAAAAGGTCAGAAGCAGCTTTGCAAATAGGTAAAAACAGGAATTAAAACACAGAATGAATACCCTGTGTTTGGGATCCATTCAAATCTCCCCTCCAACTCTGTGATAATTGAATCCCCAGCCCCAACAAGACTGATTGAGAATCCAAGTCTGGTACCTAGCACAGAGAGCAGAGAACACCACATCATGAGGAGTGGGAGGTGGGAAGATAGCATATGGATAGGATAAATTCACTGTGGTTGACACAGAAGCTAAAGTAAAATGACATTTTCCCCTAGCTCTGTTCCTGCTCTTTGTTATTGTTCAATATATTTCAAGTGAGGAAAATGGTAGAAGAGATATCTGCTCTCCAGCACAACCCAAAGCAACATAAGAGCAACGGGGAAGGAGACAATTTGCCCCCAAAGGGAGAAATAAATGACTAACAATTGCTTTGAAATGGAGGAACAGTATAACCATGATGCTCAGGGTTTGTTTAGACTAGGAAAAGTGATGGAGTTTAGGTCACGTCCAGGCAAAAGCTAACGCCAACCATTGCAACTGGGCTGCATCTGCTCTACAACTATAATTGTCTTTTTACACCAAGATCACTAACTTGAGCAGCCAACACCATGTACAGTCCTAGTGGATGGAAGGCACAGGTAGTTTTTGCCTCAGTGTAGCTTGTTGGGATCAAACCTCTCTCCCCCATCTGGAGCTGATGAATATTCCTGGCTGGAGGGACACACACTCGTACGACTCAAAAGGAAAGGAGTTGATAGAAAAGATCACAGGACTGACCCCAAAGAAGGTGAGCTGCAAAAGGCAGAAGCAGGCAACTCATCTGGTGGAGCTGAGAGACCACGGTGAAGATGGTGCAAAAATCATTATGGGGGAATTAGCAAATGTGATTTAAAAAACAAAAATCTTTGGCTAGTCCTAGTCAAGGGATTTATTATAGTACTGTGTCATGTGGCTTTTCTGATGTCTAGTAAGTGCTGAGCCCTGACTGAAGCTTTTCCCGCACTCAGAGCATGTGTAGGGCGTCTCTCCAGTGTGGATTCTCTGATGTGTGATAAGGGCAGAGCTGTGACTGAAGCTTTTGCCGCATTCAGAGCACGTGTAGGGCATCTCTCCAGTGTGGATTCGCCAATGTGTGATAAGGTTTGAGCTCTGATTGAAGCTTTTCCCGCACTCAGAGCACGTGTAGGGTGTCTCTCCCGTGTGGATTCTCCGGTGTCTAATAAGGGCTGAGCTATGGCTGAAGCTTTTCCCACACTCAGAGCATCTGTAGGATGACACGCCGGTGTGGATTCTCTGATGCGTGATAAGGTTTGAACTCCGATTGAAGCTTTTCCCGCACTCAGGGCATGTGTAGGGCGTCTCACCCGTGTGGATTCTCTGGTGTGTGATGAGGGCTGAGCTATAACTGATCCGTTTCCCGCACTCAGGGCATGTGTAGGGCGTCTCTCCCGTGTGGATTCTCTGATGTGTGGTAAGGGCTGAGCGCTGATTGAAGCGTTTCCCACACTCTGGGCATGTGTAGGGTGTCTCTCCCGTGTGGATTCGCCGATGCCTAATAAGGTTCGCACTCTGACTGAAGCTTTTCCCACACTCAGAGCACGCATAGGGCGTCTCTCCAGTGTGGGTTCTCTGATGTGTGATCAGGGCAGAGCTATGACCAAAGCTTTTCCCGCACTCAGAGCATGTGTAGGGCATCTCTCCCGTATGGATTCTCCGATGTCTAATAAGGGCTGAGCTACGATTGAAGCTTTTCCCGCACTCAGAGCATGTGTAGGGTGTCTCTCCTGTGTGGATTCTCTGATGTGTGATCAGGGCAGAGCTCTGACTGAAGCTTTTCCCGCACTCCGAACATCCATAGGGCATCTCTCCCGTGTGAATTCTCCTGTGTGTGATAAGGTGTGAGCTCTGATTGAAGCTTTTCCCGCACTCCGAGCAGGTATAGGGCGTCTCTCCCGTGTGGATTCTCCAATGTGTGATAAGGGCTGAGCTCTGATTGAAGCTTTTCCCACACTCAGAGCACGTGTAAAGTCTCTCTTCTCTGTGGATTCTCTGATGTGTGAAAAGGTCTGAGCTCACTTTGAAGCTTTTCCCACACTCTTGGCATGTGTAGCGTGTCTCTTCCAAGTTGATTCTCTCATTTCCAATAAGGTCTGAGTGGCTACTGAAGTTTTCCTCTGGCCTGTCCTGAGTCTCACAGGCTTTTGCTTTTTCTCGGAGTGCACAACTCCCGGAAACATTCCCTTTGGATCTTCCTGATAATGTCCCATGTGGTTCTACTTGCTCAGCATCTTCCTGCTGGGGTTTCTCCTCATTCTCACTCACCATTCCATCACCTGAATGGGAGACAGAGAGAATCCAGACATAGGTCACTCCCTGCACCAGAAAGAAAGGAAATCTCAGAGAGAGCAATGGAAAAAGGGATGAACAAGCCAAAACAATTGTGAAACGAACAAAAATATAAGCTGGGGTGGTCAAACCTATCATGAGCTGATTTTCCCCAAACTCTTCCACAGAGGAGAGAGGAAGGGATCAGTTTTGGTCTGCATCTCACCAGAACACTTAGGGGAAAGCGAGATTGGGGAGGGACCTGCTGCCAGTTGTCAGTCAGAATAGGTGGGAAGCCATGAGTGACATCTGCCGTAATGATTCCACATCTACAGGGAACAATCCTGAACTTGGAGAGCTCACAGGGTCTTTGTAGGGCATCCCAAATGTTTCCTGCATTCCCAGACAGTTGTTGAATTGGTTTAACCAATTACTCACCTGTGAAGGCAGCTCTTGGGAGCACTTCTTTCTCAGAGCCCTGGAGGTCCGGGACCCATGGCTCTTCCCCTCGTTCCAGCTGCGAGATCACATCAGGTTTGGAAACTGGAAACCCTACTACAGGCAAAGAAAACAAGGGAGGTCAGTGGAATTTGTGGAATACTTGTCACAAAGAATATTCCATGGTTTTAACCCCAGCTCATTTTTAAGCAGTAACATCCCAAGGCCAGCTTCCTTGGCTCAAAGTGGAAGGAGGGTTATTATTATAATAAATCATATGCATTACCTTAGTGCCTAAGGAGCAACTAACAGTGGGTCCCCATTGTGCTAGGCACAGTACAAACAGAGAATAGTAGATGGCCCATGCCCTGAAGAATTTACAATCTAAATAGAGAAGACAAACACAGAATGGAGAAAGGGGTAGAGCCCAGCAGCAAAGTGAACTATGTGATGGCAGAGTGACAGATCTGATGAATGCAGGCATATATCTTGAGACTATTGTATTTAATGTTATGACTTGGGACAGAGTTTTCTGGAAATTGCCGCTATTACTGCATTTCCCCCCCAAAATGACTCTTCATTTCTGGAATCACGTTTCATATCCAGAATTGCTGGTCAGAGGGTGGGTGGGCACACAGGATCATGCCCCCCCCCCGTGCCCCGGATTTCTACTTGGAGACACCTGTCTCATCCCCAGGGTGCAGGGCAGAGGCTGGGTGCACAGATGATGTGTGGGTGGAGCATACAGGGTCACACACCTCCAGTTTCTGACAGAAGACACCTGACTTCTCCCCAGGGCACAGGGCAGAGGCTGGGGACTGGCTGCTGTTGAGACTTGCTGGCAATCCACCTCAACAAGTTTGTGCTGTGACACTGGGCAGAGTTTCAAAACATAGCAGGGTTTATTAGTCAACTGAACCACAGCATTGGAAAGTCCTTAAATTAGCACAGAGAAGCAAAGATAAAGACATAGTCCATGCTAGCCAATGCCCTTGCGCTCTGCTGCTGTAGATAACGCTTTGGTTTCCTTTCACTGTGACTGTCCATTTGTCTTCGCTCCGGCAGAGCTTCCTGCATCTGCGAGCCCAGTTCTTCCTGCTCCCAAAAACATAACGAGTCCATGTATACCTCACTCAGCCAAACGGAGATCCTCCCATGGACAGCTGACAATTATATTCCCTTGTCTCCGTTGGGTATTCCATTGATGTGGGTTGGTCCCAGCTAGTACGTAATGACTAGAGCCCTACCAAATTCATGGCTGTGAAAAATGCGTCACGGACCATGAAATCTGGTCTCCCCCGTTAAATCTGGTCTTTTGTGTTATTTTACCCTATACTATATAGATTTCACGGGGAGACCAGCTTTTCTCAAACTGGGAGTCCCAACCAGCAGGGGATTGTGGGGGGGGGAGGGGTTGCAAGCCTATTGTAGGGGTGTTTTGGTATTTCCACCTGTACTTCTGCTGGCCACCCAGCTCTGAAGGCAGTGCTGCAGCCAGCAGCAGCACAGAAGGAAAGGTGGCGATACCATACCATAACACCATTATTTCAGCACTGCTGCTGGCAGTGATGCTGCCTTTGGAGCTGGGCTCCCAGCCAGCAGCTGCAGAGCTTCCTGCAGCTGGGGCAGGTTCTTGGAGCCAGGTGGGTCTGACCCAGCCCCAGAAGCAGCCCCGGCAGGGGAAGAGGAAGACCCGTCCCTTAATAGCCCAGCCAGGACCAGCAGTTGGAGCCCAGCATGTAGTAGGAGCTCTCGGCCAGGGCGCCTCCAGCCCTGGCCCTCCCCAGCTCCAGGCCCCATGGCACTCACGGCTTAAAGAGGCCTTGGCCTGGCTGTGTACAGTTGGGCAGTGACCATAGAAACTCCCAACCACGGTACCCATAAGGCTGGCCCTGACCCCTCCAAATGTGAGGACCCCACCCATGTCATGCCCCCCTCACTTCTGCTCCGCTGCTGGTGGCGGTGCTGCCTTCAAAGCTGGGCACCCAGCCAGCAGCTACTGGTCTCTGGCCACCCAGCTCTGAAGGCAGTTCCACCACCAGCATCAGGGCAATACCACACCTCCCCATACAATAGTCTTGTGACCCCACTCCCCATGTTCTCCATAATCCCCTTTTAGGTTGGGACCCCCATGGTTAGAACACTGTGAAATTTCAGATGTAAGTATCTGAAACTGTGAAATTTAAAATCCTATGACCGTGAAACTGACCAAAATCGACCGTGAATTTGGTAGGGCCCTAATAACCCATTCATATCACCCCATGACAGTTACATGAAAAAACACCTGATGTCTCCTGTTCTTTCTAATCACAGCAGTACCAATCACAGAGGGAAACTGAGGTGTGTATTGGAGTCATAGAAATATTACCAAAATTCCCACCTCTATCACACAAACACTGCTCACAGCCCTTGGAGAGAAAGCAAAGCACAGGAGCTGGACTTTAGTCCAGTGAACACAGTGGAGAACAAGCTGCAATCCTCAAACCCTGGTCAAAGAGGAGAGGCATGTGGGTCCCCACCCATAGAGAGGGGCTGTCTAGAGGCCTGATACCTGAGAGGGCATTCCTTGAGCAGACCATGGAGGCGGGTGAAATGTGTAGCTACCTGTGATGGGGTGGACTAGGCCCAGAGGCCCCCTGCTGGAGGCCTCAGGGTCCTGACACACCCATCGCAGGTAAGGAGCAATGGAGAGGTCCTCCAAGCAGGTGAGAGTGGCTGCAGGGGAAGCAGCCAATCAGGGCCCAGGAAGGCCCTATAAAAAACAGCTACAGAGTCCAAAACAGTGCAGTTCCTTGGAGGAGTGTGGCTGGCCTAGTGCTAGTAGAGACCGGGGGAGCAAGTAAGAACTCCTGGCTGACTACTGGGCCTGAGCTTAGAAGAATCCTGAGCTAAGGGTAAGACATTGGTGAAGGCTGGAACCTGGAGTAGTGAAGTAGGCCTGGGTCCCTCCCAGTAGGACACTGGGGCAGGGCCTATGATTGGACATCAGTAAATCCCCAGAAGGGCACTGAACTGTCAGGAGGCCCAGCTGAAGACTTGGGCCAAAACAGACTAAGTGAAGAAGTCCTATGGGTATGGCCCAATGGCAGGTCTGGGACTGGTTTAAAGACCATGGACACACCAAACTAGAGGGGGTGTTGTGAGAAGCAGGTGCTGACCCCATTACATTACCCTGGAACTGTAACATTGCAAAAGCACATTTTGGGGAATTAGGAAATCTAGTAATGGGAGGGAGAATTAAACTCCCCCAGCGTGTGGAGAAGGCTGGGGAATTAAACACTAAAATTCAGGAGCAACTGCCTCTAATTCTTCTGGAAAAGGAGAATGTAAGAAACAAGAACTGGGCCATGCAACCTAGGAGGGACAGGCTCAAAGATCCAAAGAGCCTGGAGGGAAGACAGCTTGTGACTGCTGCACACGGGGAGAACAAGACTCTTCCCCAAACATACTCCCATTGACCCAGATAATGACCCAGTCTCATGGGCAATGTTATGCTAGCCAGAGGTAAAATGGTATAATCAGAGAATGGTTTATTAGCTTGGAACATGTGTGGAGGGGCAAGCAGGTGAACATAAATAAATGGCTTCTTAAGCTTGCTACAGTTAAAGGCCTGTTCTATTAAGCTGAGGCTTTGTGGGAGGAATTATGTTAAAATCTGGGTTTTAGCTGAATGGACCTAAGGAGAGAATCCCAGGTCAGGTACTTTACACCCTCATTTTGAGAAACTAACGAGTAACCACAAACAGGTGCAATACGCCACAGGATACTGAAAGAAGGAAGTTTGGGGCGAGCTTCAGCAATTAGGTTGCTATGCAGTATCTCAGCAGTTGGACACATTCATATATTGGAATTATTAATAAATAAGTGATGTAAATCATGAGTATTAATGCTTGATGCTTAATTATGGACTTCCCAAAGGCCACATATGGGCAGGGGCAGCTATTGACATTATTGTAATCAGAGTAAAGGAGCAGATATAGTATATCGCCATCCTATTACCATAAGGAAGGGGATAAAATACCTCTCCTAGTTACCATTTTTGCAGGTTTGTTGGGTCCCCGAGACAGTGTAAACTGAAGCAGGGCTTCCCTTCTGAGGGGCTCCCTTGCCCCTCCATCTTTGTTTCCAGTGGTGTGGATAAGTTGTAAGTATACACAATGCAAGATAAGTATGAACAATGCAGGATCCTTACTACAGGTATTTAAAAGGGTGTCATAAGGAGGAGGGAGAAAACTTGTTCACCTTGGCCTCTAAGGATAGAACCAGAAGCAATGGGTTTAAACTGCAGCAAGGGAGGTCTAGGTTGGACATTAGGAAAAAGTTTCTAACTGTCAGGGTGGTTAAACACTGGAATAAATTGCCTAGGGAGGTTGTGGAATCTCCATCTCTGGAGATATTTCAGAGTAGGTTAGATAAATATCTATCAGGGATGGTCTAGACAGTATTTGGTCCTGCCATGCGGGCAGGGGACTGGACTCGATGACCTCTCAAGGTCCCTCCCAGTCCTAGAATCTATGAATCAATGAATCTACACTTACCTTATTCTAAGCATTATGTATATTGATCCTTGCCTATTATATCATTATAACTGTCTATATTAAATAAAATTTGTGTATGTTACACCAAAATTTCATCTTCGGAATTAACTTTGAGTAGCCACCTACAAGGACAAGTTATATCCCAATACGTAATCTTATAGGTGTAAAAATTGTACAGGCTACACTACCACCCTGTGACATCATCAACAAAGTGCCCATTTGTGCCTGGGTAGGGGCCCTGCTATGGGAGGGAGGAATGCAGCAAGGACTCAGGAAGGTTGGCCAGGGTCACTGTGAATAGAGATGGGGAGGTTATATGGGGATGGGGTAATGAGTAGGAGAGGGAGATCAAGAGTTAAAATAATATTTTGGGGGGGGGGAATGTATAATGAAGTGAAACTGAACAGAAATAAAATTGGAGTGTAGGCTCTAAAGCCACAAGGGTTGGGTACGAATTTGGGGTTAAAGGTCTGGGATCCCCCACAGCTCTAGATCCCCAAACCTCTCCTCCCTCCCATTGTCCCTCCCAGACCACTTCCTGGGTGCCCTTCCTCCACACTCCCCTCCCCTTCTTCCCATTACTCTCAGCCGTCACCACCTCCCAGCACCTTGGGAACTTCTTATGTTCCTTCCTCATCCCTCCCTACCTCATCCCTCCCTGATCCTTCTTACCTCTAACCCTGCACACACCCTCCCCATGTCCTGGCACCCCAGAATTATCTACTGCCCCCTTCTCCTCCCCTCCCATGGCTCTGTTCTCCCTTCACCTGTGGGGTCCTGAATGGCAACATTATATGCTCTCCTATCAAAAGAGGAGCTCATCTGACTGTCACACAAGCCAGGCATGAGTCATACACCAATTTACTCAACTTAATTCAGAATTGTACAGACAGTATATTTTCTTCTTAAAATGAGGAAAAGGCATGAAAGCTACAGTTATTAATGTATTTTAATGCGTCCAGTAAGGATACTTTAAATACAATTTTTAAATGACTGGCAGAACCAAAAATGCAAATGTACAAAAAATTATACCAGCAAGTGGGAGATAAGGCCAAAAAATGTGGGCAAGGAAACTTGTCAAAACTTGTTTGATTACTCCTGGGGGAATTCTGCATCAGTGCATGTGCACAGAATTCATGGCCTCCACAGATTTCTTTGCTTACCTGCAGAAAAATGACTATTGACGGGGAAGCAAAGGGAAGCCGCAAGAGCGGTCATTTGCCCACTCCTTGGCAGTGCAGACAGGTCAGTTTGGCAGCTGGTAGAGATGTAAATCACCGCCTGAGGGTGTGGGGCTGGGTAATCGTGTGTGTGTTTGTGTGAGAGAGAAACTCTGTCCCTCTTGCTTGCTATTGCAGCATGCTTGGCATGGAGGGGTGGGGTAGTGGCTTGTGGCATTTCTGAATTGTTCCCATTGTTAGTGAATTCCCCCAAGAGTATAAAACAGGTTGGCAATGTAAGGGAGCCTTAACATTTGTACGAGTGGTGTAAAAGAATCTTATTCTAAAGGACAATATGGCTTTATAAATGCTCATGGTGCATTAGTGATTAGAACTGGTCTAAATTTTTGGACTGAAAAAATTTCCTCTCAAAACATGCTCCATGAACTGAGCATATGGCTCCATATATTTGTTGACTAATAATTACAAGTAAAGGGTCAATACTAGCTACATTACTATTAGACTGAGGGGGGTTGGTGATTTCCACCAATGCTCCATGCTCCCATTCTCCATCCATTGTATTGTAGTTTAAATAAATTACCAAAATAATTGAAACAAGCTGGATTCTATTGCATTATTTTGAGAAAAAAATGCAGAATTTTAAAATATTGTGCACAGAATTTAATATTTTGGTGCAGAATTCCCCCAGGAGTAGTATAAGTAAAGGTATAAAGTTGTTACTCAGGTTCTTCAGAGACGCCACAGCTTCTAATAACTGAGGGGATGGGGAATACTTACCCAGCAAGGCCACCGTCTCATAGTTCTCCTGCATGACGTCTCTGTAGAGGGCTCTCTGAGCAGGGTCCAGCAGAGCCCACTCTGCCCTGGTGAAATACACAGCCACTTCCTCAAAAGTCAGCAGCCCCTGAAAGCACAAGAGTCCCTCACTCAGTACCTGCTGCCCCAGTCACAGCCCCATTATTTGTGGGAGATCAGGGTCATGTAAATTGAACATGTAACTCCAAGAGCTTCCAAGTCCCACCCCCATCTTGCTTAGAGCAGCCAGGAGGCATCAGAGGGTAGAGTAGAACAAGAGAACCTTTGTGCCTCTCAGCTGACAGAGGGAAGCAGGGTCTTCGCATTTATCTCACACCCACAAGCCAGAGCTTGGTACAGGAGATAGAGCTTCCAGCAGTGTCCAGAGACAGCCCCCTGGTAGGAATCCCAACACCCTCTCAGCAAAATATATGGAAGAAAGGAGAAGTCAATAGGAAAGTGTACATAAGTCAGAAGATTGGAAATGTAGCAAATGGGTAAGGGAAGCAAACAGAAATATATGGCCAGCAGAGCCTAGGAAAATCAGAAGGAAGTTTTTAAAAGTATATGTACAAAAAGAATCCTAACAATGGCAATGACGGAAATGGCAGAATTAGCACACACACAAAATGCTGAAGAGGTAAGTGTTCAATAAGAATTTCTCTCCTAGATTTTTTTGGGGGAAAGCAGATGATGTAGTCCTATTATATGATGATGAGGAGGACTCTTTCCTTTCCAATAATAACTCACTAGGATGTTAAACAGCAGCTATTAAAGTTAGACGTGCTTAAATCAGCAGGTCCAGATAACTTGCATCCGAGACTTTTAAAAGACCGGGTGGAGGAGCATGGTCGTCTGTTAATGTTGATTTTAATTAGGACTTGGAACACTGGGGAAATTCCATAAGACTGGAATAAAGCTAACGCTGTGCCAATATTTAAAAAGTGTAAAAGAGACGACCTATCTAATTACAAGATGTCTGAACTGTTAGTCGATACTGGGCAAGAGAATGGAGCAGCCGATACTGGATTTTATTAATAAAAGAATTAAAGGAAGGTAATATAATTGTACTAATCAACAAAGGTTTAGGGAAAATAGATCCTATCAAACTAACTGGATATCCTTATTGGATGAGGCCAGACGACTGGTTGATATGTTGCCCCGGATTTGAGGGTGACAAATTTGTGTATACCCCAGAATATGATCAAGCTGATTGCAACCATATTGTATGCATTCAGCCACCAGGAATTAATTAATTAGAACACAACATAGTTAAGGGTTAATTTGAAAAACAGGCTTTTAGAGGCAAGGTCAAAACTACACCTCTACCTCGATATAACGCTGTCTTCAGGAGCCAAAAAATCTTATCGCGTTATAGGTGAAACCGCGTTTTATCGAATTTGTTTTGATCCACTGGAGTGCGCAGCCCCGCTCCCCTGGTGTTATATCGGGTCACGTTATATTGGGGTAGAGGTGTAGCTGGCATTTTCTGCTAATCAGAATGGGAGGAGGGGAGAGAAGTAAATAACTGAGAATGACAGAAGATAAGTGGATGAAAACCTTGAGTGTAGATGCCTCTGATATTAGAAGTTTATTGAAAGTTAGGAGACGTGATGAGCCAGTAGGGGTCATTATGACCTATATGTCTTGAGAAGTCAGCTATAAGAAGTTTAGATAATAGAGTGTACTTTGGAGCAGTCATCTGGAGCTATCCTTGAAGAGAAATCTTTCCTGTCATCTTTTGTCCCTGGCAGGGAGGCGTTTGGCCAGCACTGACCCGTCGTTGATTACTCAATACTGTCCCAGAATTTAGGTAAATACCTGGGATGTTCTAAATCTATTGTTTATCTGTGTGTGCGTAAATCTAAACATTGCAGTGTTAGACACGAGCACGCTTACTTGCTTTACTCCTTGATCAGACAGAATTGCTTTGTTAAGTTTCTGAAAAACCCCAGGTAACAGACAAAGCTAAGAGTATTGATTTAATATACTGAGACTTCTGTAAGACACCTCACTTGGTTCAGTACAATATTTTGATTAAAAAAACTAGAAAGATACAAAATAAACACGACATACATTAAATAGATTAAAAACTGATTGATAGATTCTGGCTCCAGCACTGGGCATCTGGGAAGTTTTCCCAGCCTTGGCTGAGGGGTTATTTCCTCTTCCACAAAGAGGGGAAGTTCCACTCCTATTCCTTAAAAGAAGACCCCAGATTACACAAGTCTCAGCAGGTTTGTCACATCCTGTCCCCTTCTTTCCTGCACCCGAGATATTTCCTGCCTCCCACCACCTCTAGCAGCTCCCACCCTCCTATGCATTTACTGCTCCTCTCTCTCCAAGCAGAACCCACCACCAGCTCCCTGATAATCCCTTACCTGAGCCAGCTCCATTGCAGCCATTTCCTTCCCCCTGGGAGGAGGGGATGATCTGGAGTGAAACGTGGACGTTATTCTGTAGCCTGCCAGGGCGAGAAGGACAATGTGAGAGAATTCAGATGGGGCTTTTGTCCACTCCACAAGCCGATTTCCCCCAGGATTTTTCCCTGATAATGGACATTCTAGGTTCTGCCACACTGTGAAGCACAGAGTGACCTTATTCCAGTACAGGCCTAGCCCCCTCCCACCAGGGTGTAACCCTCTGACACATGGTGAAACCCTCCCAGTAACAGGGATCCTGACTGAGATGTGGCAGTAATAGCAGAAGCCAAGGCTGGGGGTGCTGAGTCCATCCCGGCAAGGTCACAAGTCTGTAGGTGGTGGAGCGCCCCCTTTAGGAGGAAAAAGTCCCTTGCTTCTTGCTGGCAACATGCACAGCTCGGCGGTTCCAGGTTCATTTTTGCACCAGGTACACATGCGCATCTTTCCTTTCATCACACACATGGGGCACTCAGACCCAGTTCTCCTTATATGACTATCATACCTCCACCACGTTGCTCTCACTAACACTTCTCCCAATCAGTGCAGCTACACCTAGTACCATGAGTGCAGGCAGATAACGCCCAGTAGCTGTTGCCAGCTCCAGGGGGAAGAGTTAAGGTTGCACTGGCATGCATATTAGCTCTGTATTTCCTAGTTTTTGGAAGTTTGAGTTTTGCTGAACTTGACACTCTGGAAGGGCCCAACATACTGCTGGGCAACCTTACCTCTGCATTAATGAAGGTGTCAGGGACTAGATGAATGTTCAGTAAATACCCAGAAAGTGATGGCTCCTCATCCCTACCTGCCATTCACACAGGCAGCAAAGCCCTGGGAAAGGCAACTTTCAGAGGCAAAGAGAAGGCGATAGAGCTTAGAGGTTCTCTGCCAGTCAGGATGGGGTAGCAGTGAGGGAAGTTTGGTAGTTGGAGGGGTGAAGAGATTTGGGTCATGCTCGGGGGGCAGAAGCGGCTGGGACTGGGTAACCCGGGGCTGGGCAGTCTCCATGGGGGACACATGCTCCTCCTGTGCCCCTTCCACACTCGGTTGCTGGCAGAGAACAGCCACCTTGCTCCCAATCCCAGAGGCAGTCAGGTCTCTGGGTTGTCCCAAGTGGCACCCGCTAACTCTCTTCCCATTGGGGAATAGCTCAGGGCAAGAATTTCCCACCCAAGCAAGGACAAATCCTGCAGATAAAATGGGTGGGAAATGCCCTAAATCTGAGGAGGTTTTAAACAAACATTGGAGCTTTACAGAGAAAAGGGGACAAAAATCAGTGCAGGAGATAAGAGAAATAGTGAATAAAATGACCCTATCGGGGAGCAACAGCTGCTCAATCCAGACTCCCAGATCACAGTGGAGGCAGTGGCATCCTGCATTTTACCAAGAACTCACACCCTGCACAAACATCCCCTCCCCACTCCCATCTCTTCTCCCTATGCATCTCTGAATCCCAGAGCTGCTGCTGCCTCTGACACACACAGGCTTCCACTCCCGTTAATGTTGGGGGGACCTAATCCAGCTCCAGGAGTGAGCCCTAATTTCCCCATCATATGAGGCAGTCCCATCTGAGAGGGGGGTGACAGGGGAAGGGGGTACAAGGAGTGAGATTGAAAGTTGTTGTAGCCATGTTGGTCCCAGGATATTAAAGAGAAGGAATATTTTTTTTCAATGGGTCCTAAAATAAATTACCTCACCCACCTTGTCTCTCCAAGAGATCTGAAAGTGGCAGAAGGAGACAAACAGGAAGACAGAGCTCAGGACTCTAAACCAAACATTTTCAATCCCCTAGAGGAAACTGCATTTCCCATCTGCCCATGGGTGTGTTCTATATGAGGGACCACCCCATTCCTCTCTCAACAGCAAGAGGAGACTGCAGCCAGCCCCAGAGGGTCCTTCCCCACCCTGGGATGTGAAAGATCCTTGTGCCTTAGGTTCCACACTGGCCAAAGGAGGTTACTAGTACTTCCTCCCCAGACTCCCCGGGGCAGCCAGGGATAATTAGTGGGTTATGGGAATTAGAAGATGAAAATTCATTAAGAACGATGATATTTGTGTGTTTATTATTAAATCCCCAGACCTCCACAAATCCCCGTCCTTCTTCCGATGAGCTATAAATATCTAAGGGACTCAGCTACTGATCCTACAGGGAGTTTTTGCCCCTCCCCTCTTTCTATAGCAGCTCTTTTAAGAACAGGTCAGGGAAACATGGAACTACTTTAAACCAAATTCTGGAGGCTGCTGAGCATGCACAAGTTAAAATGAAACCAAGGCTCCGTCTCACAAGGACCTGGCCCCTAGTTCAAAATTATAGACACTCGTCAGAAATCCAAAATGGCCACTTCATAACTGATAGAATGTTATTGATCTATTGACTTCTGGGAATTACCAATAAAAGAAAGAACCCAGTGAAGGTGATACCCTGAGGGAAAGATCTCATGTGTCTTTACAAATTGGTATAATCTAATCTGGAACTTTATACAGTAAAATGCCTTATTCGTAGCCCTATGGCAATTGTCTAGTGTCACTAAGGGGCAGAATTAAGGTTGGTGCCTTAGCTGTGAAATTCCATCCCCTAGCATATTGCGATTGCTGTTTGGTAGGCTTGGCTGAATCTATTTAGTCTATTTTTTAATTAATAATTTCAACAGATTATATCTATGTCTATTTTTAAGCCCTTTCTCCAATTTCAGTGTTCAGAGCTGTAGGCAGTTATGGGGGTGGTCAGACAATAATTATGTAATTACATATTGCGATTCAAAAAAGCTAGATCTTTAGAACGGTTCAAACAAAAATTGCCAATGTCACATGCAAAATATCCTTCAATCAAACTCAACTTTCTCCAGAAGCATTTTGTCATTTTGCCTATATAATTTTTTTTATCTGTGTGCATTTGCATGTGCAGTATAATTGACATTTACTGAGATTTACTGATTAAAAATCCAATCCTTTCAACCGTACTTTTAAGTAATGAAGTACTTTAATTCTTTCACTTCCTAGACTGTAATGCTTGCTCTGAGGATAATTACACCCTCCCTGTGACGTATTTCACCCTCAGTCCCTGTCACGTGCTCTCCACTTTAACCCCATTGGGATGTAGCTCCTGTCTGGGAGCTCTGCTGAGGCCAGTGGCATTATGACCAGAAGGTGACACACTGACACATGAGCAGAGACACATGAGGGAGGATGAGGTAACATGGAGGCTACCAGGGTTGAACATGGCCCTACAGAGTGTGGGAAGCAAACTTCCTCTCAGCCTCTCTTCTCTCCCACCTCCCAGAGTCAGTAACTCTGGCAAATCGTCTCCTGAAATCTAAATAGCCCCGATATGTGAGACAATATCAGCAAGACCAGAGTAACACAGATGCTTTAGGGGCTGCAGTGTCAACCCCCTTGCCTAGTTGAGGGGAGTGAAGATCTGCAGTAGAAGCAGAGGTGAGGCTGGGGAATGGGGACACAGCTGATGTGGGACTGGGAGCCAAGTGGCCCAAGAAGCCAGAACTCATGAAGGGCTGGGAACAGAAGTCCTCAGGACAGTTTAGAGGCACTTCTGTGTATTTTCCCCCTGTTTACCACCCTGCCATGTATTTAATTTAGAAACTTTTCATTCACATTTAAACACATTGGAGCTAAGCTGTGTTGATACATTTCCATTCAAAATGCTACAGTTTTAATTAGGCGCATAAGCATCTGATTAAGCAACAGAAAGCAATCAGTAATTGACATGCATTCATTAACTTGACTGGTTGCTGTGCATCAAATTTAAAAAAAACCCACCAAAACAGATGGTGTGAGTGAGTGTAAAAATATCAGGCATTAAGAAATGGAAATTAGACATCAGTTCATATCCCATGTGCTCATCTTGTAATTTTAATTACATAGCTTTAAGGGACTGAATAGTAACACCATGTTGTTTTAATAGCATTTGAGTCTGTATAACTGTTTGCAAGATTTCAGTGGATATTGTGAACCAGCCGTCTTAACCTTTTACTTTGAGATTACTAAATACAATCCAGTGCACCACTCCTGAAAGACTGCAAGCCCTGGCGGTGACATGCTCCCTAGAGAGCAAACACCGACGAGCCCTTCTGCCCTAAAAAGTGCTTTTGGCTCTTTGACATCGCTTTATCCGCCCCACCAGAAAATGCTATAGGTAACCAGGTAATTACAGCAGACCGTCACTAGCTACAGTTCTACCAGCTATGTGCCAAAATTGAAATGGTTCTGTTTGTTTTATCTTTCATTCAGCTTTGCAATTATTAGATCCCATTTAAAAACTGGAACTGAAATAACCAAAGCAAGTTAAGAAGAGAGTGACATCGGGCATAGGTGAGGGTAAAACAATAAAGGGAAAGAACTGACTATGCAAAAAGGAACATCCCAAACTATCAGAGCCCCAGACCCCCGTCCAACTGAATCCACCCCAATGGCATATCAAGCTGGGCCCCTGAAAAATCACCCATCCCGTCTGGCAGTGAATGCTGCGTGTTCCAGACGGAGCTATGGTGTGTGCGTCTGCTCTGTTGACGTCCTGCTCTAGCACGGAATGCACCAAGGCCACAGGGAGCAGAGACATGGACTCCTAGATGTGCAGAAAACAAAAGAAGCGGTGGTTTCTCCATGGATGCACAGGCTGTCTTGGCAGGGCAGCTCAGCTGCAGTCCCTGCACACAGCTGCGGGTGGGTGTCCTGGGTCAGGAGAAGTCGGTGTCCAGTCCTGTGGGGCTGTGCTCCTGGCTCATACCTCACTGCTGCCCCTCCGTTACCAGCTGCACTGGTCAGCCAGCCCCAGGCCTCACTGAGGTCACTGTCTCCCCGCCCGCCCCCCACAAGCCTTCAAACTGGGACATGGTGCACCAGTGCCAATCAGAGTGCACTAGTGTAAATTCTGTCTATACTAAGGTTTTCCACCAGTTCCTAAAACACCAGCGTAGCAGAGACCTTCAGTAGCCAAAACAGCCCCTAGAACTGGGATCTATTTCTAGCTGTGTCACGGACAGCCTGGGTGACCTTGGACACGTCAATGTTTCTCTTCCCAACTTTAGTCTATTTACCCAGCTGCCCACTCACTGGGGTCTCCTCTCTCCAGAGCTGCTCACCACTAAAACTTGTGTGGGTGGCCCCAGAGCTAAGGTAGTTCAGCTCTGGAATAGTCTTACAAGAGTGGCTGTGGAGTCTCTTTCCCTGGAAGTTTTTAAGATCAGGTAGGACAAACCTCTGTCAGAGATAATCTACATATACTGGGTCCTGCCTCGGCAGAGACAGCTGGATTTGATGACATCTTGAGGTCTCTTCCAGCCCTACATTTCGAGGATGCTATGCAATATATATGTATAAAAACAAAACATACAGAAAAAACCCCCACCACACACAATGTCAGGCAATTCAGCAAAAAACAAAAAACCCACCCTACACTCCACAGCATAAAATGACAGAATACAAAGGAGAGCAAAGCAACACAAAGCAAACTAGTACAACCTAGGACAAAAGTACACCACGCAAAAGAGCTCAGCTCAAACCAACACAACACAGGCATGAACCAACCTGAGGCAAAACAATGCACCATAAAACTATGCAACACAACGTGGTGTGATCACAGTTCCAAATGGCACCATGCAAAACAGCTTAGTGTAGAACACGACACGGCACAAGACAGAATTATTTCAATGTAGGCCTGGAAGGGATCTTGAGAGGTCGTCTACTCAAGCCTCCTGTGCTGAGGCAGGACCAAGTATCCCTAGACATTCCCAGACTGGTGTATCGCTAACCTGGTCTTAAAAACCTCCAATGATTGAAATTCCACAACCTCTCTTGGAAGCCAATGCAATGCAAATAATGAAATCAACACAACACTGAACATGGACAAGCTGGGCTTGAAGTTAAGGGGAGAGGCAAAAATTCAAACAGTCTGGGTTCAATTCCCAGTTTTGCCCCAAATTCTCCATGCAAACTTGAGCAAATTACTTCAGCTCTCTGAGCGTCAGTTTCCCCATCGGCGTAGTGTGAAAAACTGCTCTCTGTCTTAATTTGCTACCAGTTGCAGTTACTGATCCGTAAGGTATTGTAAAAAAACTGCCATCTGCACTAATCTGCTACTGGAACAGGGGTAGCGAATTGTAACCAGTAGCAGTTACTAATACATAAGGTTGTTCTTATTTGCTGACTTGCTAAAACTTGACAGTGGTGGGGGATGGAAGCACAGGCTTCAGCTTCCAAACAACCCAGCCTGGTACAAATCTGTTTCAAGTACCTCTTAATAGAGCGAGGCTATTTAAACATCATTTATTTTGCAGCTTCATTTACTGTGCTCACAATGTAGCATCCTGACACTGATACTTCTGCCCAAGTGACCTGTGGGTTGGATTCATTTTAGTGGAACGTGGGACATGTGGTGGATAATTTAAATTCTTAATATCTTTCAGGTTCGCCTTCGATATACTTCTATGCTGGTGAGATGTCTGACCATTACAGTTCATCAACTCGGCAGGCAGGCACCGGCAGCAATGCACTTGTCCTGTTGCCTTGACTGAGAGAGGTTTCTGATCAAAGGGATTCCAGCCAGCTCCTGGGGTAATAACTCATTGGAGATGAAAGGGCTTGTTCAGAAAGAGATTTTGACATCTGTAGGGTAAAGATGAGCGAGGTGAGTTTATCTCCATGCAGGTGTATTTTAGATTCTGGGGCTAGGAAGAAAGGAGAGAGAAGTATTTGGGATTTCCTATTTACCTTCCTCAGGGCAGGGCCGGCTCCAGGCACCAGCTGAGCAAGCAGGTGCTTGGGGCTGCCAAGGGGAAGGGGCAGCATGTCAGGCTCTTCGGTGGCAATTCGGTGGAGGGAAGGACCTGCCGCCGAATTGCCGCCAAAGAAGAAAGCGGTGTGGTGGAGCTGCTGCGGATCACAATCGTGGCTATTTTTTCCCCCCCGCCGATTGGGGCAGCAAAAACCCTGGAGCCGGCTCTGCCTCAGGGCCATCTATGCTCACCTGAAATTTTTTATGGCAGAAGCAGTTCCTATCAAAGGTAAATGATGAAATCCTAAGAGGAATTCAGGGAATCCCAACAGCAGATAAGACAAATTGGAGAACTCTTATGAGACTTTATGCAGCCAGATACACTGGTAAGGGATTCTTTGTTTAAAAAAAATCTCTCTGCCCCTCCCACCAGGGTATAGTCGTGTGCTGCCTGGCACAAGGGGGGCTGTAATCTTGGTTCGGGTCTCAGTTTTACCTGGCACAACAGTGGGGTCTCATCTCACTTGGGGTCTCTGCAGTGCCTAGCAAAGGAGAGCTAAGTTCCCTCTAAGCTGCGTGGCCACCCACCAGCTTATCAAGGGCTGCGCAGTGCTCAGGCTGCGGCGGGGAGAGATGTCTCTCCCCCAGCCCTGGACCTGCCACGGCAGGGAAAGGCAGGGACAGACACTCTCCCACAACCCCATAGCTGCTGCAGCTGGGGACAGGTGCCTCTCCCCAGTCCTGGATCTGCCGCAGCAGTGAGAGGCAAAGCATCATAAAATATCAGGGTTGGAAGGGACCTCAGGAGGTATCTAGTCCCACCCCCTGCTCAAAGAAGGACCAATACCCAGACAGATTTTTGCCCCGGATCCCTAAATGGCCCCCTCAAGGTTGAACTCACAACCCTGGATTTAGCAGGCCAATGCTCAAACCACTGAGAGATGCTCTCCCCCAGCCATGTAGCTGCCAAGGGAGAAGCGCCCCTCCCCAGCCCCGGAGCTGCCGCAGTGGGAAGAGATGCCTTCCCACCCAGCCCCAACCCAGCTGCTGCTGCGGGGAGAGAGGGCTGGAGGGAGTCTGCACCCCCAGCCGGAGCCCTCACCCCCATCCCAACCCTCTACCCCAGCCCTTTGTCCCTCCCACACTCAGAACCCCTCAGCCCTACCCCAGCCACACATCACCTCCATATTGAGGCACATAACAAAATTCATTCTGCACATGCATGGGAAAATGAGAGGGAACATTGAGAGAGGGTCTGTGATGTCAGTCGGGGTCTCTGCCATGTGTGGCACAATAGGGACCCTGATCTTGGACCCTGCACTAGGCTGAATGAGGGCCCCAAACTTGGTCAAGGTCTGTGCAGCACACCGTGGGCCCTGAGCTCAGTCCAGGTCAGAGCCATGTTCAGTACAATAGGAGCCCTGACCTCAGTCACGGTTTGTGCCACATTTGTCACAATGGGGATCCAGATCTTGGTCAGGGTCTGGGCAGAGCCTTCCACAATGCGGGGCCTGATCTCTGAGGTCTCTGCCATCTCCTGCACAGCAGGGGCCCTGATCTCCATCTGGGTTTGAAATCGGTATTTAGTAATACAAAGAAAAGGCTGCAAATATGGGGAACTTTAGCATCCTTCTCACTGGTTAGAGGAAAAGCTTGAGGAATTTTCTAGCAGTAGTTGACACAAGGGAAAGAGGTAAAATTTGAAAGGATTTCAGGTCAATCTTTGATAGCTAGAGAGAAAAGGGCAAAATTCGCAAGGGTTTTATATCAATCAATATTCAAGAAGTTGAGGAAAGGGCAACACCTGAGGAGCTTTGATGTTCTGAATGAGTCAGAAACCTGGAGAGAAAAGTGGGAAGATTTTCAAGAATTTGATATCAGTATTTCAGAAGTGAGGAGAAAATGGGGCACAAACTAAGTATTTGCCAATATAAGAGAGAAGCACCAACATCTGGGGAGATTTTATGTCACTGTTCAACAGTTCAAGCAAAAAGAAGGGAAATTTGAGGGGATTATACAGCAATATTCAATCAACCCAGAATGGGATGGTTTCTCTTTCCCTCACATTCACACGGCCAAGAGGGAGCCCGGGGTGATGTCCTTGTCACAGGGGAAAGGAGCCGGGGTGATGTCCTTGTCACAGGGGAAAGGAGCGGGGCTGGAGCCAGAAGGTCGCTGGCAGTGGGGTCTGGGAATGGGACTAGCAAGCAGTGTTGGGGGGGGGAGCAGCTGGGTTGGGCGGGGGAGGAGGAAGTGACTGGGAAACCTGGGGCTGGGCTGTCTCCATGGGGACGCTTGCTCCTCCCTTCCCTTCCTGGGCCTTTCCATGCCCTGTTGCCAGCAGAGAGAGCCCCCCTCCCCCCCCAAGCCCAGCTCAGCACATCCCTGTCTCAGGGCTCTCCCAGCCTCTGCCCATTAACCCTCTTCCCAGTTCAGAAATCACTCAGGGGAACGATTTCCCACCTACACAAGGACAAATCACTGCAGGTAAAAATGGGGGGAAACACCCGAAACCTGAGATTGGAACTGGCCATTGGCGAAGTGGAGAGAAAATGGGGCACAACTGGGGGAGGAGAACAGAGACCTTCTCAGGGATTGGAGGGAAAAGGGGGGGGGTCACCCTGGATGTTGCTCGTTGCTCTCTAGGGAGAAGGG